TTTTTTTTTTTTCTGCACATCACCCCTCACCCACCGCTTCCTGTCACCAGGATAGACTCTTGTTTTTGTTTCCCAGGATTCACTGGGACTGGGGAAGCGATGACAGCGGATTATGGGACATCAATGAGCGAAGCTGCAATAATGAGGAACTTGGGATTTGGCCGAGGGTTATGAGTTCTGGACCGTACTCAGGGTTAACGGCGCTAAGCTCGATGGTAATAATGAAATGTTGGTGATTTTAATTGTAATAATTCAGGTCCTTCAGCAACAGCTGTGCCGATCCCGGGTGCGGATGAGCCCCGCGTGGCTTCGAGTTGTTCAGATCTGGGGCATGTTTAATTATTTCCCCTCCTGAGGTTACACGACTGATCAAAGCTTGAACCCCCTTCCACCTTATTACTTCTCCACTTCATGCTGTGGAGAAATCCCTGCAGTTCACTTTACACATATCACATTAACCACACATCATACATTAATAAAGCTTCCTAGCACATTTTGCTATTACAAGTGCTTGAAGGAAACCTGTGTATATTGTACACCCATTTGTATGATGCTTAAGGGGTGTGCAGTATAATAGGCTCTTTGTTGTTCCTGTAATAAATAATCCATTAGAAGCATGAGATGGTATTATCCTGCTAAGGTGAACTGCAGGATAAAGAAGCATAATACAAATGTTGTTAAGAGTCATGTATGCTTCCAGTCTGATTTAATATCCATCAGTGCAGAAATTTCCATATGAAAAAAACGCGTGGTATCTCCTCTTTCCAGTGCAGTTATTCTTGATTTCCTTCCTACAAAATGAAAAATATATGAGGATAGCAAGCACTGGGTAAGCTGCGGTTTAAATCTTTACAAATAGTAGAGATTGCAAAAGGGAAATGTACGATGTAGAAATGTCGGCAATGCCCATTTCTCTGCAATGTAATGATAGTATCATAGGTCAGCAGATTGTGGTCCATAGATAATGGTGTGTGTTATTCCACAGGAAGTGAAGAAATGGAAAAGAACTCCTCGCATATAGTGAGATGGAAGTGCCATTTTTCTTAATCCCCCTCACTGCCTCCTTGGCACCGCCACACCCGCCTCCATCCTCACGTTCCCACCAAGTCCCCCTTCGGCGCCGTCCCTCTTACACTTCTCTCACCTCCTCCTAGGCTTCATTAGCTCTGATTGATCCTCTTGTCAGAGCTTATGGCACAACGATGAAGTGCATTGTTACCATCAACCCAGAACACAGTGGGAATGAAAAATCAGAGGCCAGCCGGGGAAAAAATATAGCACTAGGAGGGCATAATACAGAGCACTGAATAGTTTAGCAGGATTTCTGAAGTTTGAAGCTGCTATGATTTTTACTGCTATAGTCTCATACACTGTATGGCCAAATGGAAATTACACCTCCAGGAGCTGCTCGGCCATGGAAACCCATGATATGAAGCTCCCATAGTACAGGTTTCATGCTGATGTTAATGCCAGAAGAGGTTTCAGCTGTTTCAGCAACTTTCAGCGATGTGTCTAACCACTCTGCAACCCCACATGACTGAGTTTCTGCGGTTCGTAAACAGTTCCATTCTGCAATAATACTGCTTACAGTTGATGCTGGTGTTCTATTATAGTACCCGGTTTGAATTCAGTGAGCTCTTTAGAACAATCCACACAATGTCACAAATGTCTGAAAAGACAAAGTGAATGGCAGGGCAATGGGACTGGGAACACCTGAATTCAAAGACTAACATGGCCTTATACTTTCATCTATGTTATATATCTATAATACTTGAAACAAGTGCTTTTTGTTTGTTTGTTTTTTTTATTTTGCACTACAAAACTTAGGGGCAAAGCTGTAGGTCGGAATTTCAAACCAGTCACTGCATGGGGAAGAAAGATATGCTTGGTATCAGCAATGTGTAAATTATCAAACAATTTGTCCTACTTACTCAACATTGTCTAGTTCTCTAGCTCATATCATTTTATAAAGAAATATTTAGGTGCAGTAACCATTAGTGAATTGTTTTTAGTTATATACAATTTTTAAAGGAAAGCAAACTTTTGGTATTAAATCATTTAGTATTTAAATTGTAAATAATATAAATGTGTGAACAAAGCTTGGACTGCTTCCTAATGTCGCAATGATCTTATTATTTTTATTGGCAACATAATAGCAGTCGGTGACTTTTTAGAATAATAACCACAATTCCAAAAAGAGTTGGGGTGCAGTGGAAAATGTAAATAAAAACAAAGTGTAATAATCTGAAAACCTCACATATTTTATCCTTAATGGAACATAGACAACATATCAAATGCTTGAACTAAGAAAATGGACCATTTTAAGAAAAAAAGATGGGTCATGTTGAATTGATTTGTAGTGTTGCTCTCATTCCAAGGCCATCTTGATGGGCATATGCTATGCTATAACATACATGTGCCTTTCTGCACTGTTGCAGCCTTTCCTGATGTTCAAGCTGCCAATTCCATGCAAGCTAATTCTCCTTTCTACCACCAGAGATTCAGGCTTTTGAAGTGAGTGCTGGTCCCATTCCTCTTTATTCTGGAGGATACAATGTCCATGTTTTCCAGAAAAGAATTTCAAATTTCAACCTGTTCGACCACAGAGCAGTTTTCCACTAATTCCATTTTAAATTAGCTTTGGCCCAGAGAGGGTGATGGCATTCATATGTTCACATATGGCTTCTTCTTTACATGACAGAACTGTACCCTGAATTTCGTGGATGGCACCCTGAACAATGTTCACAGACACTGATTTCTGGAACTGTTCCTGAGCTTAATGCCGTGCCGTCCGAGGACCTGAAGATCACTGGCATCCACTGTTGATTTTCAGCCTTGTTGCTTGCCCACAGTTTTCTCCAGATTCTGTGTACTATGAGATTTTCACTGTATTTGCAGTTTTAAATTAAAGAACATGACATCTTAACTTTTGACAAACTCTGGCTCTCTAAGATTTTTTATACCCAGTTAACCTAATTATTTGTCAAATGTTGCCCCACTTGTTTCTTTTTAACAGCCTTTTTGTCTCCCCCGTTCCATTTTTTGAGATGTGTTGTTGCCATCAAACTCAAATTAAGCTAATATTTTCCATAAAAGTCACAGTTTTAACATTTCACGTGTCTTCTATGTTCTGCTGAAAAAGCAGGAAATATGGGTTCATAGGATTTGTAAATCCCTGCAGTCTGTTGTTTATATTTTACTTTTTGAAATTGGAGTTTTGCTGTAATATTTCACTATAGAAGCAAACTGCTGTAATTGTATCAAAATGTATCAACACCGTAAGAACATTTTTAAATGTAGAGTCTTTTGCATCCATGACTGTTCAAATCATAAATCCTGTTTTGCTGTTCTACACTTTTAACTGGGTAAAGAGAAAGTGAATGATCCTTTTATAGACACCACTGTACTGCCCTGACACAGTGACACTATGTGGTGATAATGGGTATAGCAGGCAATAATTCCTATATTGCTCTTCTGTATGAAGTTTAGCATTTGCAAGCAGAAAGATCCTTAAAACCAGAGTACTATGGCCTCTGAACTGGAATATTAGAATCTAAGTTTTGGGGAAATATTTGTTGTCATAAAAGCTTTTCACATTTAGTCTCCGATTGAAGAGACTAAATAGATTGCATTTTAGTATCTGTTTCTGTCTGCGCTACATGCATGGACTGACATAACAAAACTATTTAAAGAGTTTTTGTTGGCTTGCTTCCTTCCACAATCTTCAATTATCTTAGGCAACACTTGTTTGTTAGTGTATTCTCACGCTAAAGAGAAATCTTATACATTTCTTGGGATCTCTCTTGATTTCACTGACAGACTGAAACACCACAAACAGCATTTTTCATTATGATGAAAATAAAAACAAATGGGTTTTTTTTTTAGGAGTGTTTATAGTTTATATTTAGAGTTTTCAGTTGAATTCAGAGCAAGTATGGTTATTACCGGAAGAGTCCTAGCTCAAGACCTGAAGAACAGGACACCGAGTACTGCAGTGGTGTAAACTTTTGCTGTTTTGAACATTTAGAATTTGTAGTATAGAGCAAGGGAATCATTCAGGCAAGTGAACAACTCGTAAGGATGAACTGAACATTGTCTCTTCAGAAACAATATTCGGTTCTTGTTCTCAGTAGGCCTCACTAATCCTATTGCTAAGAAATGTGTACGAAATCGAAGCTCGTGTCTTAGGTATGGCATTATTTGATCTGTTCACAGGGATCGGATAGCATACGCAGTTTTGCCCTCGACTTCATTTTCTCATATGTTCTTGCCTTACTGTTTCCCTCCCACAATTCAAAGGACTTCAGCTTGCATTAGTAGATGAAAACAATTAACTCAGTGAAGAGGAAATAAAATACAAAACCCCTTTTTTTATAAGCTTAAATCACTTCTCTCATTCAAAGTTGTTTTTTTCTCACCTCACCACTCTGCAATTGCACAAAGGCTTGCGAGGAATAAAAACAAATAAAATACTGTATAATGTGAAATGACACCAAAATGCTAAAATATCACCCCACTGAAAAATAAAACTGTACAACTGTTCACTGGCCTTGATTTCTTTTTGTATTTCAAAGGGTGATATGAGACCAATAAAAAGAAAGACTCCTGTGTTATGAAGGCTATTTTCTGCTGTGCAGTGGTACAGTAGTACAGCATTGCTAGAGGAGAAGGTGTCTCTAAACCTGCATAATAAATGTTTCACTTATATATTTCATATCATGCCACCAAAAAGGCACCAGAGATCTGAAAATCTCTAAATCCTTGTACCACCAGGGATGTAAGAACAAAAAGTGACAGTTTTTTCCCTATAGGCTTCTTTTTTTTTTTTTTAACACAGCACCCATTAGAGGAGCAGGAGGTCAGCACTGTTTGACAATGATGGCCTTGGACTGACACATAACATAACTTTAGGGGGAAACCAGCTGAAATAGTTAGATGGACTTTAACTTTTTTATAGGAGGCTTTGTAACTTCATCTTTATTAAATAATAAAGAAATAAAGTCAGATCTCCATCCACACTACTGCGCAAAACTCTTTTCTTTATATGTTTAAATACAGTATAAATGTTTTGCCGTACTGAGCAGCATGGTGTTTCTGTGGTACCACTGTTGTCTCTCAGTACAAACATCCTGGATTCAAATCCAGTCTGGGGTCTTTCAATGTGGAATTTGTATGTTCTCTGCCTGTCTGCAAATCTTGTCTCCAGGTACTCTGGCTTCCTACCTACAGTCTAAAGACATGCGTGGGGTTGATTATCATAAATTTATAGCCAATCCTAACTCCACACTGTAGGTGTGAAAGTGAATAGTTGACAACCTTTCCAGGCTGTACACTGGCTTTCACTCCATGACAAATAGGACAGGCTTCAGTCAGTCGTGGTCTATTCCCTATTACAAAAAGATAATTATCCACTCTGGTAAACCATTATTACACCTTGGCGTTAAAGAAATCAAAGACAAAAAAACCAACCTTGTGAGTTCACACTGATAGACTGACTGCCTTTGATCACCAACTTTTAAACAGTCCTCAATTTTGGGTGGTGTGGTTGAAAGTTAATGATGCCATCATGCAAGTGGCAGAGTATGAGGAGACACGTTCCTGTTTCATACAACACTTCTTTTTTTTTAAATTATTCATCACATCATCATTAATACTAACTGAATGACTTCAAACCTTTTCTTCCAAAAGTGATCCAGAAACAAGCACTGGTCAGCTAAATGTTTTAGTTAAGCTGGACAGGAACTGGCATTGTTTTCTTTTACTGTGAGACAAATAGCCACAAAGCTGACCAGTAACTAGAGCGCTGTGATAATTTTGTGCCATTCAAAGGAAAGAAGAAGAAAATAACAAAATCAGCCGACAAGTTTGAGTTTGTCACTTGAGACTGCAGCAGAGACTAAATTTGTGTATGAACTTTTGGCTCAAATGTAAAGCATAATATCTTTAAGCATTTTAATGCATGCTGGTACAGTGATGTAGCATGTACCCCATAATTAGTTGTAAAAGTAGAAAAAAGACCCTGCAGTACTTGCAGGATCTTTAGAAAAAAATATTTTAATAACCGTGAAAACAACATGTGGAAAAAGTGTGGAACTGGGATAAAAACATTTTTATTGTTGTTTCAGCACAAATTAGTACAGCAATTGTCTAAAATTGTCTAAAATTTCATTACCATTAAATTCATATGTTAATTATATGAATATATGTTCATATGTTGTTAAAGCAGACCAACATGTGGTCTTGTAGCTAATAGCCACACGGCAAGAAATAAAAGAAAGAACGAGGGCAAATCATTTCTTTGCATTTAGAATGATGAAATCATTTGATTACTGACTGACCGCTGACCTTGCAGCATTTGCACCACACCTAATGGTGCAGTGCAATGCACGTGTTGCACTTATTGCTGTATTCCACCACAATTTACGGTTTACCACAACAGTAAAGAGGGGAAAGTGTTTTTTGCTTAGAGAATGATAACTCAGAATTGTGAACAGTGTGAGTGCAGATGTTTTATTGACAGTGCTAGCACTACGCATGCAGTGTGCATTTCATATTTTTGTAGCGGTCATTTTTGGTAAAGTGCATGACTTAATTGTGAAATATACACGCTACTTGTTAAATGGACAACATACCTGTTAAAAAACTTCAGACACAGAAAATGGTCTCACTGTTCAAAAAAAAAAAGAAGAAAAGAAAATATTTCCTCCCAAACTGTCAATAATATTATGTGTGTATAGAGTTTACAGTAAATAACGCAACACAGTCTGTTTCGTCATCAGCATCCAGAACACGAAACGTGTGGTGTCAACACCACACAATATCGAAATGTGAGGGCAACTGCACGAAAGCCGCAAAAAAGAACCAACAAACTGTGAATTCAGAGGAACTCTGACACCACAATAGGCACGAAGTGTGATGCACAGAGGTCAGGGTGGCTCTAGGTGCCAAGCATGTATGAAATAAACCGTATTTCTTCTAACTTGGGAAGCATGTGCATGGGTGTGTGTCTTAGGATGCTTGGTCATGTGTATGTTTTGAGTCAGAAGTGGGGATGGGGGTGGGGACACTTGATGTCTCTGTGGGCGTAAACATCACCTGGGTGATTCCAGCACATTGAGACAGGACGATATAAAGCCACTCAGGTACAGATCAGCAAGCACAAGAGAGGGACACGCCTAAACTGTCCCAATCAGCTGGAAGCAAGAAAGACAGAGACGAAACTGACTTTTCGACGTGAACTTTTCACTTCGGTGAGTTTGGCTTCAGGTCTTTTATTTTAAAGTATGAATTTTCACATGTACATTTTTACTTCAAGGAAGTTTAACAAGGTTACTTCACTCGTGACCTGTTTTTGGTTTGTTTCTACCACAGCAATGTACATATTAGACGAAAAACATACACAACATACCAGTCGTGATTTTTTTATGGGTAGCTTTAAGAAAGTGTTTTTGCTACAGCATTTCAGTCACAGCAAGAATTGCTCAATCCAAAAAAAAATCCATGAACTAAATTTTCACTACAGAAAAAATAAAATACAGAAATGTACATGTACTGCTTTACAAACATGAATTACATTTAAACTTTGAATATACTAAACTTCTAATATACTATGCTTTAAATGTTAAACTTTGAGCAGTTTTAATGTACATTTAAAGCTATGAGGACGCATATCAAGAGTTCTCTTCTATGTCACGTTTTCAATTGTGATTCTACCTGTTTTTTTGTACTTATCATATCTGCAATTAAAAAGCTTATATAATTTGAAATTACTTCAGCACATATCTTGTTACAGCATGACAACATGGTGACCTAATGATTAGGTGTAAAATGACTAGGTTTGCTTCTAAAAGCATTAAAGCTTGCCAACAAGCAACAACGTGTAATTATCAGATTTCTTTTGGCAAAATGTCACGATTTGAGCTTTGAGGACTGCAAACAAAAAAATAAACTCGCTGTGCTGACTTTTTTGTCCTACTTCACACTTGCTAACAAGCACAGCATGATCCAAATGGCTGTTTGCATGGCTTGGCAAGAACAGAGGCCATACTTATTTGGAAACCTCTGCACAGCCAACACTGCCAGCTACCATCCATCAAGCACCAGACTTATGAGAGAACTAAAAGCTTGAATAAAGTCAAAGATTGTTATGCCTGTGAGCTGTTCCCCTTCTGGCTGGGTTTGCTCAAATTATTTTAATGCCACGTTAAGTTATGCTACATTGAAACTCAGCAAACAAAGATGATCCTTGTGTTTAGACACTTGCGTAGGACCAAAGTTCCCGAATTATTTGGTTTATTTGGAACACTTACATGTTATGCTTCAGTGGAAACTTTTGTTTCTCATTAATGTCAGGACTCCACTGCAGCGCTGCATTTAGGATTACAGGCATTCAGTGATGATTAAATTTACTGTGGGACAGGGAAGCTTGGAACATTTGAGGCTGTGCATAGGGAGTTTACAGTGAGACTCAGCTAATCATGGGGCAAGGAGTAAAATCTTTCAACAGGGTATCAAAAAGTAGAAAATGCCCTGAAATAAAATATAAAATCTGCCTCTTAAAGTTTAAGAATCATTGTTTTTTCATTTACAATTATGTTATTTCATTATTTTTTATGTTTCAAAATTGAATATAGAACTCAAATTGTGTGCTAAAAATATTTTTTTGTCAATATTAAGGAAACTAAGCGATTATTAGTCAGTTTTATATTCTTCTTTATTATAACGAGTGCAGAGCATATTTCTTTTTCTCAATATTTTTTTTGTCATTATCATAGCATCTTTGGTCTAGAGACTGTTTAATGGTTTGCTATTACGTATTTACGTGTTGTGCATATCCACGTTACATCATTTCCTATTTTATTGTATTTTAGGCTGCTGGCTCGTGAAACAAAAAACAAAAAACAAAATGTGTGGATCCATAGGCACAAGAATCAGGAAGTATCTGGATGAAAGAAGAAATCACAGGACCAGGCTAGTGACCAAAGATGGCCGCTGCAACATTGAATATGGAAACGTCAAGTACAGCAAACACTTTGCCTTCCTGGCAGATTTCTGGACCACCTTGGTGGAGGCCCGGTGGCGGTTCGTTTTCTTCAATTTCACTGCAACTCACACCCTCACCTGGTTCATTTTCGGTCTGCTGTGGTACTGGATTGTGCGTAATAATGGAGATCTGACCTGGCAAAACCCCTCACCAGATCACACTCCGTGTGTTTGGGGTGTTGCAGGACTCACCACAGCATATCTCTACTCCCTTGAAACACAGACCACTATTGGGTATGGCGTACGAGCACTCACACCTCACTGCCCGGGTGCTGTTGCTCTTGTCACTATCCAGTCAGTCCTCGGAGCAATTATTAATTGCTTCATGTGTGGTCTTATAATGGCCAAGATCTCTTTACCTAAAAAGAGAGCTAAAACCATCTCATTTAGTCCAATGGCTGTGATTAGCCCCAGAAATGACTATCTTTGCCTTTCAATCAGAGTGGCCAACCTACGTAAGAGTCTGATGATTGGCAGCCAGATCTACGGTAAGCTCCTGAGAACGACAACCACACAAGATGGAGAGACGATAATCATGGATCAGGTGAACATTGATTTTACTGTGGATGCTGGGAAGGACAACCTCTTCTTTATTTGTCCTCTCACTCTCCATCACATAATCGACAAAAGCAGCCCCTTCTTTGAGGTCGCAGTTGACACACTCCACAATCAAGACTTTGAGCTGGTCGTCTTCCTGGACGGCACAGCGGAGTCCACAAGTGCTTCTTGTCAAGTGCGGACCTCCTATATTCCTCGGGAAATTATGTGGGGCTACAGCTTCTTGCCCGTCATCTCAAGGAGCAGGGATAACAAATACAGAGTCGATTTCTCCAACTTCTCCAAAGTGGTGCCAGTAGCCACTGCACACTGCGCCTATTGTTTCCACAATATCAAGGGTCATCATCACCACTCCAGAGAAGGACAAGACAATCCCGGCTTTGAGGTGATAGAAATCACTGAGTCCCAAGATGCCACCAAAATGTAAGAGGTGGAAAGCAACACAAATAGAAATGGCAGCACACTGTGTAGCATTTAGATATGACGTAAAGAAATCTGCTTACTTGCACTTCTTTTGTGTGTGTGTGTGTGTGTGTGTGTGTTTTTTAAGCCACCATCAATTCCATAACATTATTGTGAACTATTTAGATATAAAACCACACCTGCCACTGTCTGCTGACCATAAGCCTGTTTTCAAAAAGGGAGGCCTGGTTATACAACACGCTTCAATGCAGGAACAAAGTATGCTCCTGCTTTAAATGAAGAAAAGCTCTTCTGTTTTACCACTTGCCTCACCTCAGGTTCATAGAGCATGGACATGAAGAAAATCAAACCAATGTATAAAACTGTATTTAACCCTCACAATGCAGTTGAAGAAGCAATGTTGTTGCCTTTGGTGAGAAAACACCAAAGTTTAAGTTTTCTTTAAGTACTGCCATAGCGTGTAGAAGAATTGACACATGAACTTGAAACACTGGAATATTCTTAACTATTCAGATTCTGAGGTACAGGCAAATGGTTGGGTACTGGCGCAAGTCTTTTCAACACTAGTTTATGTAGTTTCGTGTCTGTTCTGTTTGTTTGTTTCTTTGTATATTTTAAATGAAGAGAACAAAGTTGGTAGGAAACAAGCGTGCAGCACTGAGTACAGTATGCATTTGTGTGTGTAAAGTCTTTTTGTATTCTCTCTCAGGGAGAAAATGTTGATATTAATAAAAAAAAAAAAAAAATCACCCCAAATACAGTGTTTGTGCCATTTTACTGTTTCTACTGTCCATCTGAAGGAATCAAAGCTCCTTACAAGGACTTGTGATCACAGAAGGTCAAAACACATACTGTGACTGGTGCCAACCTCTACTGTGGCTGTTTTAGCTGTACACAGTGTAAAGTTTTGACATCAAACAGGAAGGGAAAGACAAACTAGCGTAAGAATTCACGAGATGACAGCTGGGAGCTTACAAAACCATTATTTAGATTTCAGGGTCAGAACATGAAACCAAAATTCACTATTTGGAGAAACAGCACCACATACAGTTCATTATTAAGGTAGACCCCAGAGCAGCTCTCTGTTCGCAGCCATATGCTCTCATGTAAAAGTCTGAACACGATGTTGCAAATCAATAAGTGAAATTACTAGAAAAAAATAAAGATGGTACATGCTCCAGAATGATATTTCAATTTAAAAAAACAAAAAAAATGTCTGTGATGGCGATCAGAGATGGGCAGTAACACATAACGAGTAAAGTAAGGGATTACTATTGCAAAAACGTTAAGTAAGGGATTACTATTGCAAAAACGGTAATTAGATTACTGTTACTTTCC